TTGGCAGGTTGTAAAGGCATAAATGGATAGCAGAAGATTTACTGTTTCTTTTTGTATTCACGCTCTTGTATTCACTGCCCTTAAAAATTTTTTGGGCACTGTCAGACACAGGCGACTACACGTTCATCACTGAAGGAAGAACTCCTCTTTAAAGATGCAGAACAATATTCCAAGGGCCGTAAGTCTCAGGGACAACGTTCTCCCTTGTGAGGCAAAGTTAGAAAAGTCCACACACTGGAGTGAAAAAACGGTCCTTGCTTTTACAGTTGTCACAATCCAGAAGTTGCTCTAAGAAAAAAAAAAAACATATCTGAAGAACAAACACATTCAAAAAGAATAATCTGAATGTTCTAGAGGCATTAAAACTTGTGAGCAAATCCAGAACCCCAGCCATGTACAAAAGAAAATTGACAGCGTGCCCTCAAACAATGCAAACCACTTCAGAGGAAAGCCCTGCCTCTTCCTTTAAGTATTACAACTATTCCACCTAAAACACCTGGGACCTTTCACAGATCTACCTGCACAGCTAAGGCCTAACGACGTCCCCTGCAATAAAGTCATGCGTGAGCACACCCATCTGCTGTATTTAAACCTTGATTTTGTTTGCAGAGCATAAAGTGTGTATTTTTGTAGGAAGTCATGAGTGTTTGGAATACTGTGTCGCACGGAGTTTTTTTTTTTTTTAAAAGGGAGGTTATTTTAATAACTTAATGCTTATAAAAAACCAAAGTTGAACATTAAACTCCTTTAAAAGTACATTAATTAGAAAGCTTTATCTGACTATTCTAAAAATACAGATGAGTTGCTGAAATGAAACTCAAGTGAAGGACTAGTTTCCCTTTCCCCAAAAGGGGAGGGATTAAGTGAAAGGACTGTAGGGTTTTCTGACCGACCCAGGAAAGACTGAAAAACGGAGACAGTTTTGCATTTGCCAAAGCAATGCTGTAGAAGAAATTACTGATGCTCAAAAACATTTATGCTAAAGATAGGAACCTCAGATAAAACTAACGAGTTCCTTTTATTTCAAAGCAACATTAGTTTAAGGCACCAGAGACAAGTGTTCGCATTTTGCAGCGCTGCCTCATTCATTTTAACTGCACACATACCTGCAGTTTTTAAAACACCAGCGGATCTTTTTTTGTTTTCAGAGTTGCTTTATAATATGCTCCCTAGAAAAAAACACGTCTAAAAGAAATAAAAAGTTACAGCTCATTTTTGAAAGCGAGCAGATGCTATGTGATGGCTTTTTATTGATGGCATGAAAGACTACAAAAGGCCACCATACAAAACTGAGGATAGCGACAAAAAAACTTAAAAGCAAGGAGCTGCTGAAGAACATCGATGTCATAACGTCAAATTCAGCCGCCATCAGAACGCGGTGAACAGGCAGGTGCCATACAGAAGACAGAACTTATATTTATGGGATGAAGTATCCAGGTCACAGGGAATGGTGGGGGAAATTAAAACCCAGCTCATGGCAGTGTAATAAAACTTATGGGCTCATAAAGTCACGCCTCTGCGTTCGCCACCCCCGGAGCTCATTTCTGAAGGGGCCTCAGGTCATCTCTTCTCTTTGAAAACTGGCTTCAAGATGAGGACAAAATGACATGCTAGTGACCGCTGCCAGGACAAAAAGCCTTTCACCCGCTGTAAGTATTTTAAGCCGCTCCAGCTCCCGATAGCAAACCGGGATACTTGGGAGAAAGCGCCCAAATGCAGACAGCGCCCGAAGGCGGCGGCCTGGGAAGATCCAGGCGCGCACATCAGCCGCACACCCCAAAGCGTCCGAGAGGATCCCGAGGGGACGGCGGCTCCGACGGCACCGACCCGGCGATGAGACACCCCGAAGGCCGCCCCTGCAGCGAGCGGGAGCCGGGGCGGCTGCGGGGCCCAGGGCAGGCGGGGGCAGGGGCTTCCTCACCCCGTCCCGCCTCGGAGGGTCTGCGCTGTGCCCCGCTCCCGCCCCGGGGGGCCCCCGCACCCCCCGGCACCCACCTGGGCCTGCCGGGAGCCCCGCGCCCAGCTCGGCACCGGCTCCTCCCCGCCTGCCGCCTCCGCTCCCTCCGGCTCGTCGACGCCGCCATCCTCCTCCTCCTCCTCCTCGTCGTCGTCCTCCTCCCAGGTGGAGTCGTACCTCCAGAAGCACGCCTCGTCCTCCGCCTCGTCCTCCTCCGCCCAGCAGCCGAGCCAGGCCGCCATGGGAGCGCGGCGGGAAAGGGAAAGCGAAAGGGCGGCGGGGCCGCCCGCCCGCCCGCACAAAGCCCCGGCGCGCCCCGCGGCGCCCGCCAGGCCCCGCCCCGCTCCCCCGTCACTCACGCAGCCCGCCGGGCTCCGCCGTTTCCTCAGGGATCCCGCCCGGAGGCCGGTCCGCCTGAGGGGAAAAATGGAGGAAACGTAATTCTGCCACTTTCCATCCACCCCGGGTCCTGCACAGGCCACGCACTAAAGGTCTTTTCCAACCTAAACGGTTCTGTGAGTCTAAGGCTTGCGTATTTAACTCTTCACACGGCAAAAACACAGCCTAACATTCCTCTTACAGGAAAATGAATAAAACAACCAACAATCTTCCCGAGAAGCCAGGACTCGGTGAAAGGGAAGGGCGGAAAAGACACCGCCAGCGCCCGGGTCATTTAAAGCATTTACATTTTCCAAATGTCCAACTTCACAACTAACAAATTCCTAAAAACTCCGTACTGCTGGACTGACCGTGAAATCCCAAGGGACTTTCCCTGCTTCAAGGATGGTGCCGAGAGATTGCACCCGTACACGTTATTAATGTTGACACATTTCTTCTTTAAGCTATAAAAAGCATTTCATTGGTACAGCAAAAACCTTTAGACTAGAATCCCTTGGATGAAAAGGATTTACCCGCAAGGCCTGAGACCTGAAAGTTACAGAATCTGCACTTTATGGCCAAGATCTATGTGGGGCATCACAAAGTAAAGAGCACTTTAAGTTTTGTTGTTTCCTTAAGAATTAATAGAGGCTTTAATCTTTTCAGATATTAGATCACAGACTTGTAAGTGACGTATTATTACAACTTCTGCAACGGCATAGTACCAACAAATCAATTAATCTGAGCATTTTTCTTAAACATCAAACTTAAAGCCAGGAGCTCCCTCACATCAGGTTATAAAAGCTCCATTTCCACCCACCCAGAAAACCTCTGAGGCACCTGCAGCACCTCTCCCACAAACCAGAGCTCCACCGAGCTCTCCAGCGGGCAGCTTATCTTTTGCAAGGCTTATCACGTGGAGCACAGCACTACATTCATGGCACTGTGTACCTTCTGGTTCGGAATTTGTTTACGCCCCACTATTCCAGACGTTAAGACCGTGAGCTTGCACCACGCTGTAAAAGCGGCTATAGTGGCCATCCCGGCAGAGTTCAGTGCGTATGACGGGGTAAGCAGGTCAGCTTCCAAAGACTGCAACAAAAACTTCATTTTCTCAACTCAGTACTTTACAATTGTGTTACGCTAGTTAGAACAGAGAACATCCTCTAGTTGGAATCTTACAGCAACCTACTGACTTCAGCAGGTCAGGATTTCTTATCGAACACCTTACAGAAATAACAGGGTAGTAGTTCCTGAGATCCAGACAAAGTTGCTAAAAGAAAAAAAAAAAAAACACCAGGTAGGCACTTTTGACCAATTTCACTAAAGACACAAGATACCTAAACAACTTTCAAAATAAGTTGGGCCAAATTTTAATCAAGTTACGCAACGATAACCATTTAGTAAAATAAAGACAAGGCAAATTTATTCTTGGTATAAAACAAATGAAGCAAATAAGGCAGACAAGAACTTGGCTACGTACCCAGCATAAAAGCAAAAACTAGTAGATCCCTAGTTCCTCACCTTGAAGGCAACACCAACAGATGAAGAAGTAATTCTTCTTTTTATTAACTGATAGTTAATATGGTGAAACAAATTCAGTAACATTTTCAGCCTACTTCATTCACCATTTAACATGTGTGTGTTGATTGCGGTCCATCTTTTCACAACGCAAAAATAGTAACTTCTATCAAATCTTAATATTCTAGCATATAAAAGATAAGTATTACAATGTCAGTAAGATTCTTAAGTTGTAGAACAAAATTAACATTTTGGAATACCAATTCCATTAACATCTACTAAAACTGCTTTAAAAAAATAAATAATGAAGTACAAAACCCACTGTTATATACTACTATAGTACAAATGGATGAAGAAACATCTCCAGGTTCATGCACAGCTCAGTTGATCCTTTACAAAACCATGTGACATCACTGGATATTTTATTTAGGATACTTATTAATTATTATTCTAGGGGCATTATCATTTTCACTTCACTTCGGTATATAAACTCAAAAAGACTGAAAAATGTCACGTCACTAAGGGTGAGATAAGTAAAGGTTCCTCCGGGAAACAGAGCAAAAGAATATTTCAATTCAGTAGTTATCTGTATTTAAAAGAATTTCAGTTTTACTGAACCAATGAATTCAGACATTTGATGCAAAAGCTACGTTTGCACCGAATAAAATGGCCAAACAATGCTACCCACAGAGGCTCTGTAATATTCAAAGACAGCAACAAAGCAAAGGCAGAAAAAACGACCCAAAATTTATAGAAATAACCTCTGCTTTTCATTAACTGCGGCTCTGTGTTTCACTGCGCGCTTGTTTCATGAACTATGCCAACACAGAGGCTGTTACTTGTTTGAAATGCAACCACCAGAATTGCTAGCTATGCATAAACTCCTAATGCTGCCCGCTTTCTCCCCCAACGCCCTGAGAAGGCGGCGTGGCCATCGCTCAGCTACTCGGTGCTGACTAGAAAACGCATCAGGAAAGGCAGACAAAGTCTTGCGTGTATAAAGCCATGTGCAGATTCTTCAAATACCTGGCTCAGATATCTTTTCCTTTCTCAAAAAGTTTATGTGGCGACTATCCTGCTACTCGTTTTTACTGTTCCCTCCTCACGTTCCACAGTTTATTACTTCTCTCTTTCACAGCTTGCTTTATGTTCTGCGTCGTTTTGCAGCACTTGGACTGGAAGGATTACTGTTTGCGTTTAAGACCTTTTCAGTGACTCTGTTGCGCTTCCTCTTATCAGACCCCTCTTTGGACCCAGAATCTGATGAAGTTTTCTCTTTCTCTTTGCTGCTTGGCTTTTCGGTTGTTTTTCCTAAACTTCCAGAGGGTGCAAAAACTGAAATAGGATCAAAGTAATGATTGCAGATCAGAGTCATACACATAGGCAAACAAGAAGTGATATCAAATTTCTTTATATCGCATAAAACTTTCCAAACCAATCAATTCTCAGCATATTTAACCACCATTTAAGTATTACTTTCACTTTTAAAGGAAAAACCTTCTGTAAAGAAAGGCACATCTTGCTTTTATTATTTGCTTTAAAGACAGGCATGTATTTTGACAGGCTAAGAATGAAATTCATTAAGTGGAATTAAACAGCACTTAAAATACTTAATAGGAACACTTACAGAACAGAGGACCAATCTATGAAATTTATAATCAGCAACGGTCATTACATTTGGTATGATAGATTTTAAAACTGAACACCCAAGATGTGAAATTTAATATATTTTTAAAATACATTTTTAGATCTTTTATTACACTCAATCTTAAAACACCGCTTATCCTGTGATATAAATATTATAAAATTATATACTTAAACAGTTGGCTTGGTCTGTTAAGGTAAATAACATCTCTACTGTTCACATTTGACTTTGTTCTACAGCAAAGTGTTAGGAAAATAAGCCTTATATTTAAAAGAAGCAAGATAATGCAAATAAAATAAAATAAAAACCCACTTTGCCCACCTTCCCATTTAAGCATACAATCTTACAATCTTTTTTGACTTCTAGGCCCTATCTTTCCCCAGGACTCCGAAGATCCCAACACAGAGTATTTAGGTTCACTAAAACTGGACTCGACTTTTAGAGATCCTTAGATGACTTCAGATGCCCAGGGTTTTGTCAAGTACATATTAAAACCAAAAACCTCCAAAGCTACACAACTTTGCACATATGAAGTAGGAGCGAAGGAGAAATGTTTCGAAGCATCAGATACTGGCAACTGCTTACTCTGTGCATTCTTAAATTATTCTAGTTCTCGGCATGAGCATATGCTAAGTCTGAATACAAATCACAACGTACACCGTATTTGGGATTTACATTTTAACATTAATTTCTTAGAGTTACAGTTGGTTTTTAATCTCGTATTACACAGTAGAGAGTTACAAATTTACCTTCTTCTGGACCTGTATGCGTTTCCATCTCTTCTTTTATTTCCTCTTTCACTTCTTCTTCTATCATCACTTTTCCTACAGAAAAGATTGTTAGGCCACGGTTAGATGGTTTTAAAGAACCGTATGTATTTTTTCTTGATTACCAGCCTCAGCATATGTGCACAATGTTGACAAATACTCAGTGCAACACTCAGCTGTGACTTAGAAAGGTTTTTATCAGCACTGTGCCAGAGAAACACGGCTAACAGTCCAGGCATACTACGAGCACAATGTAAAGCACTGAACGAGGTGACGTCTCATGTCAAGAAGTGCCGCTGAAATTATTAACAGGAAGTGAAATGCTAAATAGGCAAAACATATCGCGATGTCTTAGCTATATTATAATTTTATATCGAATTTTTACTGTGAAGTTTAGTGTACCTAGTAAGCATTAGAGAAGCATTCCACTGTAGTTTAAAATATCCCAAGAACTCCTTTGGCAGATGCCTGAATTTCCTAGCTCCTACCTTGGATAACAGTACTAAGTAACACCCATACAGCTAAACTTTGAAAACCCAGCTCTCACTCCTCAACTTAAGATTGCTGTCAAACCGGTGCACATTTCAATTAGATTAGACAAGACAGGTAGGCTTATCACGAGTGAGAGAGATTTGGAAGAACCAGGCGGTTGAATCCCAAGAAGGTAAAAACACAAAGAGACGATTTCACAGTGCAGTGAAACCACCCTGAATCTAAACAAACGCCTCTAAACATTTCATATTGGTTTTGTTTTCAATCAATTTTAATGCAACTACAGGAAAAAAAATTACGAAAAAAATCTATCATCGGACATTAAAAACCAGTAATGCTTTTAAAAATAAGACATATGAACCATATTAAAAATAGTAATAGCCTAAAAATGAGATGGTTATACCAGGATAAGGTACAAGTCCATGGCCAAAAAGCAAGCAAGTTTCTCCAGCTATTGAAACTGCAGCTATTCAGTAAGTATATTCCTGGTGTACGTTTTTAAACGTTAGCTGAATTGCTATTTAACTGCCTTATATCACCATTGGTACAAAAAAATTTATCACAGAAGTATTATTATATACAAACTGAATGCAGAAAATGTTATTTTCATCAGGTCTATAGCTCCTACTCTTTAAAAAATGATCTTGCTACAAAATGAACCACGTTGAAGTGGGCAGATCACCTATTTCAGCAAAAATTGCCTGAGGTAATATTACAGCCATCTCAACAAAGTGCAAAAACCCCCACAATAAACCACTAATCACCTTGCAAAGAATCACATTTTGCCTTTCACTCTGCAAACTACTATCAGTGAAGCACAAGGATCTTTTGCGTATACCCAGAAGGAGAAGTTGAATCTAAATGGAACCTGTTTGTGCTATATTAGCATCCCATCTACATTATATTTAAGAATATGAGGAATACTGTGTGGAATCTGACCAAAGGTCTCTCTCTCCCGCTAGGCTGTCTCCTACAGTGGTCAATCACAGAGGCTGATAATCAGCCTATGAACAGCACAAGCAGCGCGATGCTTTACTTGACAGTTTCCTTCAGTCAGTTGATTAAAAATCCCTGAGGTGAACTTGTATCTGTTGAACACTTCCTTTTCCCGATACACCTCACTCACCAGTCTGAAAGGATGACCTTGGATTGACATGTTGTGTTCTTTTTTGGGGGGAGTTTTGCTAAACTACCCATTCAGAGATGAGATTAGAGCAACCAAGAATAAGAGACTGCTATCACATCTTACCTTCTCTCACTTCTTGAATCATTTCGTCAGGAAGAGCAAAATTTTTCTCTATATTAGGGAACGGAAGAATCTCAGATTCGTGCTTAGAAAGAAAAGAAAGATCTCTATGAATGACTTCGGTAAAAACTTTAACTTGGATTTAGAAGTGCAGTCTCAAGTTCTATTTTACATGCAATTAGTAGCTAAATAATTCTTAACAAGACACTTCAGACATTAGAGAATCAGGAGGCTCCTGATGTCAAACTGATTACTAAGGTCAAGACAGCTGAGATCATGACTCATGATCATTTGAGATCATTTCTGGAACCCAAACATGGCAAATTCTTATGTAAACACACTATAATCTCATTTGACACTTAAGTTAAGCACCTATGTAAACGTTTGCTGGATCAGAATTTAGGCAACTTTAATAAAGTCAGAACACAGTACGGGAAAAGAAAAAAACAAAACACCGCAGGTTTTATTGTCTCCCACCTAATGTACTTTTACACAGGAAAAAAACCATCAACTCGCTGGAACAACACGTCATTCTTAGTAACATGAATGGTATGACAGGCCCAGTGATTTTGGCCTATCAAAACTCCTGAACTATAAGAAATAAGAACGTGGCTGCATCAACCCTTTATACTCACAAGAGCTTGCATATCATACATGGTGCTCAGATGGTCCCAAATCACTTTGGAAGAAATCTGCCGTCCAATATTCTGACTGAATTTATCTCGGATACAAATCATGTGGAAATGGCGATTCACACCTGGGGGAAGAACTCACTGCAGTTAACACTACTAACAGTCTTCCTTATGCCATACAATTAAAAAAACATCCTGTCGTTACAGGGAAATGATACAGTATGGGAGAGACACATGGCAATCTGGGCAGCCCTGCTGGCTGATATTTCACCCTACGTTACTGGTGCTATTGTGGAGGGGGGCTGAGAGTGCCCCACTGGGTAACGCTGACATGTGGCCGCAGCCAGAGCTTTCTGAGAGGCTGCGTGAAAAACAACCGAAGGGAAGTATGAGGCAGCACGTCAGGAAAGGCGAAGGCAGCGGGGAGCAAGGAGGACTGGCTCTGTGCCTCCAGGAGGGGCGGCTGAGGAGCCGGGAGGGCCGGCGCCTCCTTCCCCACAGGCCCCGCCACGCTCGGGAGAAGCCCCGGG